TTCAGGAATATCCTTGTCAGATTTGGGTATCAAGGCCAGACCACCTCATAAAAGCCCTGTAAGAAGCTTTGTATATAGTTGTGGACTTCTTCTCACGTGTTGGGAAGGACTCGCTGGTGAATCATCTAGACCACTTCTTTGTAGGAAGATCGTTAAAATTCCAAGTGTAATTCTATTAACATAGGGCAGTTTGTATTTGTTTCTTCTTCTCTTAAAACGTGTTTTGATGAGTTAATCTATTTTATCCATATTATCAAAATTGGTTTTGCTCATATTATCCTCTGAATGTTTTTTTTTTTTTTTTTTATGTCTCTAGCTCCACAGTGGTGTTCATTTTTAAACTTCCAACATTGGTGATTTGTGATCCCCCTCGCCCCATTCCATCCATCTTGCTAAAAGTTTCATCAATTTTATTAGTCTCTTTGGAAAGCTTTGTTGATTTTCTTTAATGCAACATTCATTTTTTTATTTCATCAACTTACAGCCTTATCTTTATTATCTCTTTCCTTCTACTTCCTTCAGGTTTAAGTTGGTTTTGTGTTTTTGTTTTTTGGCTTTTTTTTAAACTTGAGCTGGATCTCAGCCTCTCCTTAATACACTTAAGGCCATATATTATCTTCCCCTCAGTGTCCATATTTCAATACACCACCAACATTTGTTGAATTATATTTTTGGAAGCACGATTTTTAAATTTTTATCATATTCATTTACATGTGTGTGCGGAGGGGTGCGTGTGCCATGGCCCTTACGTGGAAGTCAGAGGACAACTCTTGAGAGTTAGTTTTTCTCCTTCCACCATGCAAGTCCTGGGGATCAGACTCAGGTCTTCAGACTTAGCTATAATTTTTGATACATTTTTATTATTCAATTAGGACTATTTTCTAATTCATGTAAGATTTTTTCTTTGACCTTGGGTTACTTAGATCATTTAATTTCCAAAACACTTGGGGATTTCCTAGGAATATTTTTAATTTGTAGTTTGATTTTATTGTGGACATGCAAAACGTGATTTAATGTCTTTGAAATTTGTTGAAACTTGCTTTTAAAACCTAGCACTTGGTGTCCTTGTAAATACTTCCATGTGCTGACCTTTGATGGCGTGGTTTTGTCAGTTAGGGCAGACTGACACTCAGATTGTTCATATTGTTTCTGTTGATGTTTCGCCATCCTTTCAATCCATAATCATTATATAGCTGTAGATTTTTCTTTTACCATTTTGTTCTCCCAGTTTCTCTATATGTTTTAAGGCTCTATTTGTAGGTGCATACAGATTTGGAATTGATCTTTTCCTGCTGAACTGACACTTTTTCATATAGGCGCCAGTGGAAACCCTGAACAACCTTGGATGCCATTCTTCAAGTGCTGTGCTTTTTTTTTTTTTTTTTTTGAGACAGGGTCTCTTCACTGGTCTGAAACTTGCCAAGTGGGCTCAGATAGTCGGCCAGTGAGCCCCAGGTATCTCCTATCTCCACTCTCCAGCCTTAGGATAACAAACACATGCTGCCATACCTAGATTTTTTTTTTTTAACCTTTAATTAGGGTTCTGGGGAAGGAAAGCAGGTCCTTGCACTTGTGAGATAAGCTCTTTACCAGGTAACCCTGAGCTGGTATCTTTGTAACTCTGAGATCTTTGTCTGACTAGGCAGGGCCTGGTGCTGGTTCGCGGATGCCTATGTTTAGAGAACTATGCTAGGATACCTGTTTCTCTGCCCCTTTCTTTTCGGTCTCTTTGTTTACCCTTTTAGTGAGTTCATGTCTTAGCTTTTTAATCCTGACTAACAATTCTCATCTATTGAGTGGAATATCAATTCACTTAGATGCACATTCTCTACCATCTTATTCTTACCCATTTTTTCTTACTATTTTTCTTTATTTTTTACTACATTGTCTCTTTTATCAAATCACCAATTGCATTCTTAATTTCCACTATTGTGTTGCCCTTTCTCTCTTATTTATTTATATATATATATATCTATTTATTTGTTGTTAAAGGGAATCATGGAATGTGGTTGAGACAGCACCTCGGGTAACCCAGGCAGGCCCCAAACCTCTGTGTAGCCAAGGATGACCTTGAACCACCTGATCCTCCTGCCTCCACCTCCCAAGTGCTGGAATTACAGGCATGTGCTACCATGCCTGACTCTTATAGAATTTCTTTTTCAGTCTTTGGAGATAGTTTCTATCATATGGTGAAACCCCTCATCTCTTCATCTATTTTCTTGACTCTATCCATCACAGTTATCTTAAAGCTCTCATCTAGAAAGTCTGATGCAAGCCACAGCCATCTATCTAGCAATGACTCTGTAGGTCAGACTCTGGGCTGCCCTGCCGGACGCACTCCTGGGGGCAGAACACTCACTTGGTGGCTGAGCAGTGTCAGCCTCACATGCCTGAAGCTGTCAGCTGTCATCCGAACCCTTCAACTCTCCTCCTTCACTCACTAGCAGGCTAGCTCGGACTTGTCCAGGAGGCAGCAGTTTTCTGAGAGGGTAAAAGTGAAATCTGCAGGTCTTTTGAGGCCGAAGCTTACAACACTGCGGTGGAAACAGACTCAGATCTTTAATGGCAGGAGCAAAGAGGGATTTTCGTCTATCTTTAACAGCCTCCATGTTCATACTCCTCCCTAAAAATCAAAGTTCTTTCTCCCTCCAACACACTTAGAGGTCTCAGTGTTTGCAGACAACACCTCACGTCCCAGCCTTCTGTCATCCGCCTTTTTTGTTTTCTGCTCCTAAAATCAATACTAAATATTATACAATGAATTCACAACCTCTAAATTCTAATTAATAGCTTTCTTCATTTTTCTTTCCTTCCTTCTTCCCTTTCTTCCTTTCTCTCTTATCCTCTGTGCTAGGGATTGAAACCAGTTTTTGCTAGACAAGCATTCTACCACTAATCTATGTTCCCAGCACCACCCCTGCTTTTTATGTAGTCCTAATTGGCCTAGAACTCACTGTATAGTCCAGGCAAACCTCCAAGTCACAGAGATCCTCCTGCCTCTGCTTTCTGAGTACTGGGCTTAAAGGCATGTACCAACACACCCAGCTCCCCTGCCTTCTTTTTTTTAACTTTTTAAAGTTTTGTTTATTTATCTTATGTATATATGTTTTACCTACATGTATATATGTGCAGCATGTGTGTGTGTGGTGTCCTTCTAGTTCAGAATAGGGCATTGAATCCCCTGGAACCAGAGTTACAGATGGTTGTAAGATGCCATGTGGGTGCTGGGAACTGAACCCAGGACTTCTGGAAGTACAAGCAGCAAGTACTCTTAACTGCTGATTCATTTTTTTCAGGCAGGATCTCACTAAGTAGTGCAGGTTGGCCTTGACCTCACTCTGTTACCCAAGAAGGGCCTGAATTTATAATCCTCCTGCCTCAGCCTTCTAAATATCTAGAATTATGAGTCCAGCTTCTAATTTCTTTATCAGCTGTCTACTACTGAGCAGCAAACCATAACCAATGTTGTGGTTTAATACTTATTTGTCTTGCTCACAGTTCCCTGGGTCAGGAGCCTGGACTCAGCTCTGCTGGAAGGTGGTTCTGTGGTTGTGCTTGGGATGACTCAGGCGGCAGCAGTCATCGGTAGCTTGCTTAGGGCTGGGTAGTTCAAGATGGCTCGGTCACATGCCTGCAATCAGTGCTGGCTGATGGCTAGGCACCTCCACTTACTTCCCTGCAACCACCCCAGTCACACTCCCAGCACCTGTGGTTTCCACACATGGTGAGCTCCCCGGACTCTGCAGTCACATTAGGTCACAAGGTCAGCTCAGATTCAGGCAGTGTGTAAACAGCTATCTCCTGAGGCTAGAGAGCCTGTAGCAGGTAAGACTGCAGAAAGCACCACCTCCAGCTCTCCAGCTAGGATCTGTGTTTCCCCTTCATCTTCAGCTTTTATATAAGAACAAAACAAAACAAAAAAACAACGCAGACGCTCCAAGATATCTCTGCACAGATGACTAGGTTTTCCTCTAATATGAAAAAGAAATCTGGGCTAGTTTAGACTTGAGGTTTTGGGGGGACCTCAACCAAAATTTTTGGCTGCTTCCTGGGGCCCCCATCCTAAAATAGTCTGAATCCCAAGCCTGTTGTCCTCAGTGACAAGAGCCTGCTAGCTTCTCTGTTTCATTTTTACTCCCTCCCAGCAACACTGTGCTCTGTGAGAACCCACAGCTATTTCCAAGGGGGAACTGTGTGAAAAAAAGATACCCTGATAGCCTTTGTTCTCTGGAATCCTGTCACTTGTATCCTGGTGGCTCTGTAGCCCAGGCTCCACTGTTTTCCCCACAGCCCAGGAAGCCCCACCGTTCCATCTGGTGTAGACATTTCCCACACTTCTCTGAGAAGGAAGCACAGCCTGGAGGCTAGGCTGGCTTCCTCTTGCCTCTTGTTTTCTGGGCTCGGGGCCCTTCGAGTCTAGCTTTCCCAAAGGCTCCCAGCAACTCTCTGTTGCCAGTGCGGTTTAGTCTGGCTGGTCAAATTTGAGCTTTATAAACTCTCCCGGTTTCTCCACTGCCTGGATGCCTTCTAGTCTTATTTCTGTGCACTCAGATGTCTGATCACAGGCCTGCTTTCTCCAGTGATGTTTCTAAAAGGACCTTATTTCTCGAAGGAGCCTTAGAAACAAACCAATGAAGAATCCTGAACAGTCTCTGTGAACAGTGCCCTCATAGCATGACTGTTGTCCTACCCCTCCAAAGGCATTCTCTGACTCTGCTGTTAAGAGTTGCAACCCTTGCAAACTGGGGGTACAGACACCCATCCCAGCTCTGAAACACAAGTAGGGAAAGGATCTTTCTCTCCACCTGTGGTGAGGCAACCCTCCCTTTCCCCTTTAGGAATCCCTAGCCTCCAGCTTCTCTAGAGGCAGGGCAAACCCTGGATAGAATGTTCTCTTTGTTCTTGGAGAGTTCATCCATGTTTGGCCAGGGTACCTTTGACATGTGTTGAAGGGTTACCAGCATGAAACCTGCTCACACTCTGCTCCCCCTCCTCCACAGGCTACGGGAGCATCATCGGGCCACCATCAAGGTGATCAGGCGCATGCAGTACTTTGTAGCCAAGAAGAAATTCCAGGTGAGCTCAAGTCCAATTGTGCAACTGGCCCCAAGAAGACTAGAGTAGTAGTATGCCCTCAGTCTTAGGTACCAAGATGCTGTGACCATAGTCCTTGAATCTCCACCACTGCCCAAGACAGCAGGCTCCTTCAAGGATAATGGCCCAAGGGTTCTTTGTCCCTCCACCTTGATTGTTAACAGGAACTTCATGGCCTTACTTCTCCTTCTGTGCAAGGTTGTGAAAGTGACAACCTGGCAATGTCACCTGGACAAGAAGTGACCTTGTCCTCAGCCACCTTGGAGCTTTCTGTATCCTACCCTACCTATACTGCTAATGAACAAGGGCTCCTGAGCTGGGAAAACTGCAGCTCTGGGATCCACTTGCTGCCAGCACACCTCCAGAGTTGTTCTCCTGAGGCTCTGAGACCAGGGCTCTCAGGAAATAAGGTAGCAGGCTGTGTTCCTCCTCTGCTGTGGGACAGTCGTGAGCAGAAATCATGAGGAGGACAGAGTCTTACTCCCCACTTTGCGAACATGCAATAGAAGCAGCAAGGAAAAGAAGGCATTCTCTTGCCACAAGGTCCTCGTCCCTGAGGAGAGAAAGCTGGGGCAGCCTATCTTAGTCTCCAAGGACAATCTCAGTGGTAGCCCTGAGTCTTGTTATAGGGCCACATCTTCCATACCAGGCCATGGGACTGACACAGGCTCCTGCTGCCCCCTCAGAACAGCCCCCACCCCAGTCCCGGAGCAACCCAAACCTCCCTCCTCTGTGAGAGGTAGGGGCTCAGACACAGTTCTCATCCCAGATTATCAGCATTGTACTAAGAGGAGCTTTGGGCGACATGGGTCTTACTCACTGTACTGTAGTCCTCAGCATCTCAACTGTTATGTTCCAGCCCTAAGAATAGCCCTTGGGCTGGCCACTGGCCCTCCTGCCAAACTCCTGACACTAATGAGAACAGGATGTGGCTCCTCATCCTAGCTACTCACTGCTACCCTGGAGGGTGCACATTCAACAGTACCATGGTGGCGTTCTGCTGCCCACGTGTTAGCCTGCACCCCCCCGCCAGTACTGTCACAACTCAAGTAGACCAAGTTATGTCCAAGCTCCCCACCATGGCTAGGGACTTCATAGTGTCAAAAGGAGTAAGGACAGCACCCAGCAGGGGGCAAATCCAGGAGGCACCATGGAGATTGCACTTGATACTCTTTCTCCCCCCACTTAGAAGTCATGTCCCCTACAGTTTCACGGGGTGCTAAAGGAGATTGGGGGACAAAACAGCCTCCCATAGAACCAGCTCTTCCCAGGTTGGCAAGGAGCCCATGGTCTCTTAGGGGCAAGAAAGGGCTAGGGTGTGACACTGGGAAGCAGTGTAGCTTAAATTGCTAATGTTTAAAAGAAATTGCTAGGTCACAACAGTACCCAGGCTGAGAAGTAGCCCCTGTAGGTGTTGGACTAGGTTTCACATGAGACAGTATGGTACCTGCTTGCTAGGTTTTATGCTGTCATGCTAGGTAGGCCCATGGCTACCTGGGGTTCACTTCTGCAGTCTGGATGCCCAGTGGAACACAGGAACCCTCATGGTTTCCAAGCAAGTCCCCCTTTGAGTCAGAGGTCGTCTAAGTGGTCCACACAGACCCACTCTCCATGGCCCACACAAGGGGCCTGCCTGCCTTCCTGCCGATATGTTTGGAAGCTGAGGAGGAAAAGCCCCAGAGCCCTGCATTTTCAGACCTAGGACACTAGGTACTAAGAGTGTCTCAGGAAGCTGCCAGAACAGGCCAAACAACTCTGACCTTCCTGCTCTCTGCTTCTCCCCTAGACACTCAGTCCAGGTGCTGGAGGGGCCCTGTGGGGGTACTGAGGCTTCTGAGTAAAGAAAAGTAAGGGCTCTACAGTGGGCTGACTTTCTTGTTGGGGACACATGGACAGGTAGTGGCAGGCCTCCAAGAAAGAGTGGGATAGATAAAGAGGGAGCCCCTGTGAGGAGGGCCCCAAGGGCTCTAGGCCACCCTAGTGACCCAGATTTCTTTCCTCAGCCATTCACCCACCTGCTTCCCACCCGGCCCTGCTGGTCTTGATGCAGGCATGCCTGCCTGCCTTGCTGACCGATAAGTCCTTGGCCAGCCGCCCTTGTGTCTGGCCTGAGGAGCCAGGGCCTCTTAGCCCTTGAAAATTTGCCTTGAGCACCCACATGCACAGGCCGGTCAGTCTGGACAGATGGCATTATCTTGGCTCATCTCTGGCTCCTGTTGCCACCAGAGACACTTGCCCTAGGAGAAAACTGGGATGGTCTCTTAGAGTAGCTCCAGGCAGATATTTGACAGAGGCTTCGCCAGCCCCAACCAGGTCCTGGAAGGGAGTTTGGCATTTCTAAGGTAAGTCTTGGCAGGCCTGGAGAACTGCTGACCATGGGTAGTTGGTGGGGTATCTGATCTTCCTCCCTTTTTTTTGTTTTTTTGTTTTTTGTTTGTTGGTTTGTTTATTTTTGTTCTGGAACTTATTCTGTAGACCAGGCTGGCCTGAAACTCAGATGTCCACCTGCCTTTGCCTCCCAAGTGCTGGGATTAAAGGCGTGTGCCACCACTACCTGGCTCTCTGATCCTTCTTAACTGCTTACAGTCCCCTATCCTGCTCCTGCAGGCCTGCATTCTCCCACTTCCCCACCACACATTTGATCACACACGTTTGCAGAGACTAGCACACTTGGACATAATGGCCCTCAGACCCTCAGACTATTCATAAACCAACATAAGGACTTGTCTTGCTCCTCGCCCAGGCCCGCACTGCCTCAAACTGTAGTTTCTGCCATCCTTGCTTGTTTACCCCGTGTGCTACCAGGCATGCCTAGAGGTGCCACACACTTCGTAAAGCATTTTGGCCCACACGTTCCCTTCCCTAGTACCGAGAGTGACCTTCAGTGTACACTACAGAGAGACCCAGGTCCTGGACTCAGTCATTGCCACCTCTGGCTGACAAGGTGCTGCATCAGGATTCCTTGGCTTTTCTCATCTTAGATCTTATTTTATTCTCATTCCCTCCTAGACATAGCAGAGTAGACCTCGGCAACCCATTTTCCAGAAAAGAGGAATAGACTCAGTATCCTGTTTTACTGAAGACAGGAACAAGGCTCAGAATTTCATCTTATACGAGGGAGGATCAGGGCTTACATCTCCGTCTTCAGAAGATGGTAAACTGGAGACATTATCAAGCTCAGTTCTAAGGCTGTCGTAACTACATACGCAAAGGACCAAGGATCTGTTTAAGTGCTGTCCCAAACTTGGCCTCATAACAGTCACTGGGTATGTAGGCCACAGAAGATGTGGTGGTCCTGGTGCGCAGAATTACCCTGGGCATGACAGGTCCTTCCTTCATGGGAGCTAGACTGTATTAGGGGAAGTCCGTGTGGCATTGGGAGCCGTCTGGAACATATGGTGTACTAACTCCCCACCCCGAGAAGCAGCAAGCATGTCAATCATCAGTCTAGGGCCCAGATGCACTGTAGCTGTGCAGCACCATGTATCTGGCCTGCTAGGCCAGCTCCTCCTGAAGAGGCTTGGAATGAGGACTAGTAGACCGGCAGGAGCTGCTGTCTGGTCCTGCTGGAGAAATGACTCGCAGTGAAGGTCCAGACAGGCTACACTGGCAGCCTGCAAGGATTAAGCCTGCTACTATATATGTTCTAAGCCATTCCTCCCTATTGCTGCCCCCTCACTGTCTACATTTAGAACTGAGCCTACAGGACTCAGAGGAAAGTAACATGTGTCTTTCTGACCTGCAGCAAGCACGGAAGCCCTATGATGTGCGGGACGTCATCGAGCAGTACTCTCAGGGCCATCTCAACCTTATGGTGCGCATTAAAGAACTACAGAGAAGGTAGGCACAGAAATGGGTATGGTGACATGGCCCTGGGAGGGCCCTGGCCTCACAGGGAGAGAAAGAGTTCTTAGTGAACCCCACCCCTGAGTTAGCCTCCATCCATGGATCTTCCTGCCACTGGGGTGGGGCTAAGGATCCTGACCATTCAGAACCAACACGGTCTGGGATTCTGGTGTCAACCCTTTTTCCATTGAAGCAATGTGGTCCCTGTGGCCCAGCACAGCTTTGGACCTAGAAGGCTAGTTTTATGGTCTATCTTGCAAACCTAGCTCTGTGTATATTTGGGAGAAATGACTGTACCTTCCATAGACAAGGCAAAGGTTCAGAGCTTCTCTGTTCTCACTCCATTCATCCATCCAGAGAAGAAGTCTAGGCACCTCGGCTTCTGCCTCTCATCTTTGAACTTCCTGACTGGCTCTCTCAAGAGCATTGGCCACAGGGTCTTAGGTGCCTCTTGGCAGGTCTTGGAGTGGCAATGGAAGATACCCCTGGAGTGAGTGTCATGTTGTCCTCCTATACACAATGGCCTGTCTTTGTGGTGCCCCAGGCATTGTGTGAGTTGGTGTCCCTCTCTTCTCTCCCAGGCTGGACCAGTCCATCGGAAAGCCATCTTTGTTTCTCCCCATCTCAGGTGGGTGTCTGCACTGGTACCTGGACAGGGCAACCCATGACTGACTCTCTGTCCCCTTCACCCCCCTCTGCCTCCCCTCTTATCACAACAGGCCGCTAGGACCCCCTGTAGCAGATAGACCCTGGTAGGCAAAGTGTCTGTAGACAGGCTGTATAATGGGATGTTTTGGTGACAACAGAACCTGCTGTGCCACTTTAAATAACAGATTTCTAAAGCATCATGGTCAGACTCTGGGTACGGTAGTGTGAACCAAGGGCACATTTTCCCGTGATGGAAGGGCCAGGCACATGGATCAGATGAGCAGCCAGCCCAGGGTTTCAGGGGCCATGATGGCTCCGGTGCTCAGGGATGCACAGTGGTATTGGGTGGGCTAATTCTTGTCTTGGTGGGAACCCCCAGGTCCTCAGGATAAGGGGCTATGTGGCACCAGGAAGAGAAAAAGCAAGGCACATTATTCCTGGTGACAGTGCTAGCAGAGGTTCAAACGGGACTGTGGGGCATAATCCAATGTTGGGGACCACTGAGACAGCAGACACCATGGCCTGGTGATGGGTCTAAGCCCAGCAGGTATCATTCACAACCCAGCTGAATCAACTCCTGGACAGAGAGTGCTCTGTCCCTCCTGGAAGACTCTCAGGGGTTCCTAAGCCAGAAGGAGCAAGGATGACGCCCAGATCCACTCTGCCACTATAGCACCTCTCGCTGTCCTGACCCTGCTGTTGTAGTCGCGAGAGAATTTTAAAGGGGCATTTTTACCCATTTCCCCAACTCCTGCTCCTTAGGTTCAGTCCATCCAGGCTCTCAAACCCACACCCGCAGCTTCATACCCATGACTTTGTGCTCTATCCCATAGAGAAGAGCAAGGACCGTGGCAGCAACACCATTGGTGCCCGTCTGAACCGGGTGGAAGACAAGGTAGGCTCCCACATCCACTCCATCAGCTCCGATAGTTGCCTTCCTCAGCCAGTGCACTACCTCAAGGGCAGCAGCTCACTGCACCACCGCATTCTACTGATCTCCTCTGTGGGGTTCTTGAGAAGCACACTATGTGTGGTGGGTGGGCAATACATCTCACAGTTGTGTGCTTAGGACATCAGAAGGCTGCCTACCTGCTGGCTGCTTCTGCCTAGTGTCCCAAGGCCTGTATCCCTGCCTCTGCCCTGGGAAGGAAGGAGTAAGACCTCAAAGTCAGTCACACTGAAACCTTGAACATGACCTGGCTCTTTCCCTCCATTCCTTACCCTTTGAGCTTTCTGCTCTAAGTGCATCCTGACTGTGTTCTAGTCAGGAGGTAGCTACAGCTAGGCTCCCATCAACCTTCCCATAGGCTACCTGGATAGGATCCTTGCTGAGTAGGCCAAACCTTCTGAAGACTCAGAACCTGGATAGGGTAGATTCCTCAATGGTGCTGGCCTCTACTTACCCTGGACCTGACTAATGTGGAAAGTCCTCAAGATACTGTGGTAGGTTGTGCTCGATCTGCCTGGCCAGGCTATTTTTAGCATCCACTACTATAGGCATACCCTATGGTAGCTCCTTGTATACTGACTGCCCACAATCTCATGTTCCAGAATGTCACAGCTGGCATTGGCTAGGCCACTAGGCTACTCCACTGACCTCCATGTTCTGTGCACAACATCCTACCTTTCACGAGCCGCTGGAGGCTCTGACTCACCCAGGGAGCTTTCTTAGGCCCGTGGTACAACCCACTGCTACTCTTTGAAGTCTCTGCAGTTTGAGGTGTGCCGTTATCTTGCCAGACAACTTGTCTGTATACACGGATTTTATCTGAACATAACTAGGAGGCTAAAAATAGTGGAATTTCAGTTGAGTGGGGAGTGTAGTTGCTGCTGGGTTGCCCTAGCAACGCCTGGCTCTGGCTCCCTTCCAATATGGGCTGCAACTGGGCAGGTAGGCAAAGATAGTCTGGCCCACATAGGACAAGCCAGCTTTCCTTTTCTTAACATATCCTGGGCATTGGGCTCCAAAGTCTCTCTTCTCCTCACTAGCACAAGTGTCCCCAGTCTGGGGCAGCCATGGAACTCTGTGGTCAGTGAAAGGAATCAGGAGGGGGCATGGTCTAGGCTCCAGATATTCTCTGGGACTCTGGGGGTGTATATCTCTAGTACTGAGTCTCACTATAGGACCTGGTATAACCTGTAGCATCCCAGACCTGAGCAGGAGGTACTGTGGCCATTGATCAGCAGAGTGCCCAGCTAGAACAAAGATTGTGCACATCTGGCAGGATGGAAAAGATACTCAGAATGTTCAGCTCACAAGGCCTAGGCTCAGTGGTGGCTTCAGAGCCTTGTTATTTTTCTGCGTGATCAAGGATACCTTTGACTTCCCTCTTTGTACATGGGCCTATTGGACCAGTGACAAACACCCCAGTTTGAGTCTCCTACTCAACCTCTCAGACAGCCCCAAGTCTTTCCTGGTCAAGGCCACCTTTGCTGACCATTCTTATTGCTAATAGGAATCAGGGAGGTCTCCCCCCACCCTCAGATAGCATAGACCAAATCCTAAGTATGTGAGCCTTCTCTCACCAAAAATTTCAAAGCAGCCTGCTGTCTCCAGTCCCAGTAGCCACAACAAATTCCTGACCTGATCAAGTTCTATCCCATTCTAACTGTTCACCTTTCCCCTTCTCCCCATTACACACACAACAGGCTACCCTCAATCCCAGAACAGAAACCTGGTGTCTCCTGTAAGTGATAGAAGGTGATAGGTATTGTCTCCTACCAGTGTCTCCCTTTCCAGACTCAAGATATGGCTGCTCAGCAGCAGTTGGGGTTTAAGAACCAGGTCACAACTCTGTGACCAAGGTGGAGCCTGTACTGGCCCAGGGGCAGAGGCAGGGGCAGGGGCAGAAATATGTGCCAGTGTTTCATCAGATCAGAACAACAAAGGGCTGATTTTCCAGAGTCCATGGTCTCTGGGAGCAAGGTTTAGGAACAAAGCTAGGCCGATCCTCAGAACTCCTGGTGACCTTGGCCCTGTCTGGGCTCTGAGCCAGGTTTGCAAGGATGCTGAGATCCTGCACAAACACCTCATGGACATCACCCTTCATCTTTACCCCCTGCCTCAAGATGGTTAAGATGGGGGAGTGAGTCCTCTGTCCAAGGCCATGGTCCACACTGAACCAAGGCATCTCCCAGAACTCTAGCCTGGACCCTCATTGTACATCAAGAGGCTGTAAAAGATGCACTGACCCAAACAGCCCATGGCAGTCTGCCCAGTCCCTCCCCTGTCCGGGACCACTGCCCCCTGTGGGGACAGACCCTGGGAAAGAGCTTTGCTGGGCCCAGAGGGCACGATAGCATGGCCAGGGCCCCACATCATCACAGTTATCAACGTAACCATCGGGACCAGAAACAACCCAAGCGCAATCCTGCTGACCTTGGGAAGTAGGGGGACAGGAAATCCCTGGGAGCCCAGCAGTCCCAGAGCGGAGCCAATGCCAGCCAGCCTGGCTGAGCCCAGCCAGAGCCCCTGGGATTCCCTGCTGACAGCCCCTCCCTCCCACCCCTCCAACCGCAGGCTGGCCAAAGTCAAGTCTCCAGTGCCCAGCAGCTCACCTAGCTCAGCTTAGCCCCTCAGCTGTGAAGGGTGTCCCACCATAGGCCACCTACACAACAGGGCTGAACCCCACTCACAAACAGCTGGATCTCACTCTCAGAAGAGGATCAGGCTAAGGAACCATGGAGATTTGGGGTGTCTATTTGTAAGAGTTTCCCAGGAGAAACAAGCTGAACTTGTTCAGAGGTGCTTCGGTTTTTCTGACCAGGAGTTTCCTTAGGTCTAGGCCAGGGACCCATACCGGGGAGCCATGCCCATGGACTCCTGTCTTGCAGTCACTGTATATTACTGATTCCTTTGTTCTAAAAGATCAAGCAGTCTCCTGTGGTCACACAGCTAGTTATACAAAGAGCTGGTCCTCATGGCAGTCACAGATGTGGGAAAGGGAAGAATAATTCAGAAGTTCGAGATCCTTTGGAAATGAGACTGGAATCAGCTCTGAGAGCTAAGGCTGGGTAGGGGTCAGTGGCCTTATCCAGGGGCTACAGCAGTCAGGACTGGTGGCAATTCAAGACAGTATAGGCCATCTTGTTATCCCTATAACAAGAACCCCAGAGTTCTGGCTCCTGCCCCTTCTCTCTGTTGCTTAGCCCTGCCTAGGCCCCCCACTGGCTTCCTTAGGGTCCTCCAGCTCTCTGCAGAACCCACACCCTCCTCTTCCCTATGGTGTTCTTAGCTCTTCTTGGACCTGGACCTGCCACAGTGTTTATTTTACAAGCTAAGCTCACACTGTCGTGCTGATATGCCGAGCACAGTGGGGCCAAGAGACTGACTTTCTTGTTTTCTGCAGGAAATGTTTGTGGCTCAAAGCCGGACACAGGGGAGCTCTGGTTTCCAGACCCTGCTCATAGGGCATCTAGGGGTGGGGATTAAGGCCCCAATACTCCTTCTGCCTAGTCCTGTCCTAGAACCCAGGCCATACACACTTCTTGTACAAGGACACTACTCAGCCCTCACCACCTGCCTTCACTTCATGGACCATCTTCTATCATGAGGCCTACAGAGTGGCCTCTGAGACATTATCATCCCAGGCCATTCCCTGGATATCCTGTTTCACCCTTGCTCTCCAGTGGGATGTCTTCTAAGCCCAGGCCTTCAAGTTCTCTGGCTGGGGGATTAGTTATTTAGACATCACTGCAGACTTCCCTGCTTCATCTCTCGCATCCCATATTAAGTCTTAAATGCTGTCAAAATCCATTTAATTCTATTCTGCCATTTTTGCTGAGCTGTAGCTCCTCACAGATTAAGTGGTAAGGTGTTCCCATCAATCCTGTATCTGGGAATACTTTATGTGAGTCTTGATGTTTTTTTTTTCTGTCTTGAATGTTTGTTAGAACTTTAAGGTAACACCATCCAGACTGCTACTTCCTTTGTGAGAACATTTTAAACTACTGATTACAGGGATTTAAGGCTTATGAACTACTAGGACTCTTTATTTCTTCTTGTGTCAGTTTTGATAAGCAGTTGGACTGAGGAATTTGTACCTTTCATCTTGGTTTTCAATTTTATTGGTGTTTACTGCATGTCTGTAGCATCTGCATTTTGCCCCGGTACGCTCTCATTCCCAGTGTTGTTTATCTGTGCCTTTTCCTGTTTCCCACAGTGACCAAGCCTGCCATGCATTCCCCAATTTTATTGATATTTTCACCAAGCTTTTGGCTTTGTTGATCTTCTTGCTTGTGGATTTTATCTTGCTTATTCACATCTGTTTATCTCTTTCCTTTTAATCCTTGGCCTTAATGTATTTTTCTCTCTCTACTTCTTAAACTGGATAATTAATTGTTAATCTCCAGATTTTCTAGATTTTTAAAGTGTGTAAGCCATGACAGCTATTCATATCCTTTACACTATCTTTATTCTGTAAATACCACTGAAAGGCATAACCCATTTTTTGAGACAGGGTCTCACTATGTAGCTCAGTTTGGCCTCAAACTCCAGACTGTCCTACGCTAGCCTCCTGAGTCATTGGGGGGACAGCCCCACAGCACTGCCTCAGGCTGCCTACGTTTGATAAAGTGCTTCACTTTCACTTTCATCTGCTTGGGCTGTATTTTTCTAATCTCCATCATCTCTTGTTTATGCCAAGAGTTATGCCATGGCAGCATAACTGTGTGGTTTTCATCATTGTTATTATTGTGGTAGAACTTTCTAGTAACATTGTTTCACTGTCAAAGAAAGTGTTCCTGGGATATCAACCCCTTGGAATGTTTTGAAAGATGTTTTATAGTGTAACACGTGCTCAGCCTTTGTAATGTGCCTTGAGTACTTGAAAGCATATTCTGCAGCCATTGGATGCAGGGCTGTGTTTACAAGCGCTCGAACAAGCTTGTTCATTG